GCCAAAACAGCCAATTCCTGGTTCACCTTCTTTTATGTAAGTGGATTAACAGTAAGATTAACAAACTGTCAAAAAGCATGTTAAATGATAGCTTCTGCTAGTTAAAAATTCTGATGGTTCTAAAACTCTGTTGGTGGCCATCTTGGCCTAGGAGCTTTAATACAAATGAGACTGGTGAAGGCAGGGGATGGGGGAAGGAGTTCTTACGGACCGAGCAGTACAGGGGGAGGAAGGGGTTATTAAACGTGAGCAATCCCTACAGAAAGAAAATACCTAATCTGAGCAGGACTTGTGTTATAACATATGCATCTACACTGATAAACACATTAGAAAAATAAAACTTGTGCTCTGCCCATTTTAGGGGTGGAATTTCATTACTCTGTAGATATTTACTGAAGAGCATACTAACACTTGCAATGTTAATTCTTATTTGATTATTGTACCCACATCTTGTCCCCGAGCCAGACTGGCTACGTTTGTTTTTGTATACCACAAGTGCCTCTGAACAATGAAGCAGCACAGCATGCATAGGGAGATCACGCAGACAGCACATATTCCATTTTATATCGAAATACCGAGATGTCCATTTGCACATCTTCTGGGTACCCCCACCAGCACCACCGCGCAGAAGGGGTTTGAGTTACACTTCAGGGGGACTCGCACGGAAGAAGCGCGGCTTCATGCCTGAAGCAAAACATGGGTCACTATGCGCTGAAAATAAAATTTCCTCTTTATTCTCTAGTGATGTCATCTGCTGGGTGGAAATGCGACTGCTCACAGCAGCACAATATCTACCCTCAGTTTCATCGTGTCACTCCAGCAGGAAAGCCACAGGACGACCTACCGGACAGGAGTGGGTCCGGTCCCAAGGTCCCATCCGCCGGCTCGGGTACAGAAGGCAAAGAGGTTCCTTCCGTGGTGCGGTGCCCCCGCGGAAGGCCAGCTCCAATCCTGCTGCCCACCCCAAGCCCCGAGCTGTTCACGTTTACAGCAGTTCTACTCTTGGGTAGAAGGGCTGTCCTCTGCAGAACATGCCACTGCGGACCCCACACCAAAACTCTGAGCCTGGGGGCAGCGGGATTGTTCTTCTCCAGCGCGCAGACCTACTTAAAATGGGAGCTGCCACTGGACACGCCGTTAGGCAATTGGGTAGCAGATCAAACTCAGAGGGACGCTATTGTATTTTTTTAAGAATAAACTGCAAAACTGCACCAAACAAATGAAAATCATAGGGTGCCTTAATCTCACAAGTTTTTCCACTGACGACTTTTTTTTTGTAATTAGAGGACTAGAAACTGGCCTCCACTTGAGTACAAAATATTTAATAAATGTCTCTACTTTTATAGCTGAAATCCAAAATGACAAGAGAAAGGGAGTAAAAAGGAGCCAAGCGTTCTGAGGATGAAAAAGCGCTGCTATGAGCACCCCCAATATTCTTAAGATGAAAAGGGGATGTGATGGCATGTCTTTCGGAGCACAGACCATATTTCTCTGGGTTTGTGGAGCAGCTGGTATTTAGAAAGACAAAGTTGTAAGCAAAGCTTCCTAATAATCTAGAACAAAGAGCTTTACAAGACCTTCAAATGCCTTGTCTGTGAAAAAATTGCATGTATTATTACTTACACTGCAGTAAGCTATGATCAAAACTGTTTATCCTGGATCTGCCAATGAAGTCCTTGTGTTATTATTTGAACTGATAATAACGCCTTTGATAAACGTAAGCGGGTATCAAAACCAACCTATTTATTGCAAATAGATACCAGTATGAAGAAAAACTTAAAATATGTTTAGACAAACGTAATTTCCCTTTTCTGATATAGGAGAAATACATAGAGGGCAGGCACAATGAAAATGATGTGTAAAAGTTTTAAATCACCATCTTAAAGAGGTTATTAAATATTATTTTAAGCCACAATGGGAATTGGATTGTTCGGCTGACTTTGATTGGTTTTTTGCAGAATAATTTTAGTTAACAGAGTTGAAAGAACAAGTTTAAAGAAACTAACTTCATCCACTTGTAAAGCTTTGATTATCATAGAGCCTTTAAATTTAAGCTTCATTGAATACAATATGATAATCTTTTTTTCTATCAAAAGGCAAATTAAAATATTCAGCTTATAATCCTTTTTGCCATTTCAACTGCTCATAAGATTTCTTGCACTGGCAGTCTATTTTGGTTGGAATAAGACATTTCTGCCCATACAACAAATTATTTGTAATGTGCCAAAATTTGTCACCACAGCTAATGTAAACAAAAACCTACCACCATCCATAACAGAGAATGGATTTATTATTTAGTCATTGTTCTAGTCAATCCACGTTTCTGTGCAGGGGCTTCAAGAAGTCAATAGATGGCAGTCCATCTCTTAGGAAAGAGCCAGATAATGAATAAAATCACCAAAAGCTTCACAAAAGAGAAAGGTGGAAGGCTGTGTCGTTTTTCACAAGCATTCACAGTAATTAACTGAGAATACTTTATGTAATGCAAAACATTTAGACAAACTTTGTAATGGCTGTCTGCAAGCAATGTTATAAAAACGGTCTTTTATTACAAACCCAAATGCCTTGTTTTATTTGTGCTTATATGTACCTGCATGTGTGACACTCATGATCAATTTACCAAAATCAATTTAAATCTAGTGGCAGTATCCATGGCTAAAGCACAGTAAAAACTGTAGCCTTAGTCTGTTTGCTAATAATCAGGTGGTCTCCGCAGCATAGCAATAACCACAATAGTACTTTTTAAAAAACTTCTATTACTTTTCTTTAAACTGTTACCCTGTTTGTACAGAAATATTTATTCTAAACTAGGAAAACTCTAAACTAATTTCTATAGTGAAATACTACTATGCTGATATGAGAGTAAAACATCTTGACTTTTTAGTTACAACTCTATAAATATATATATATAAAATATACGTTACTGTAACACAGAAGTTTTGATTCTTGCAATAATACTACTTACTTCTGTTCTGCTTCGGGTACAAAACAGAATATTTAAATGGAATAATACAAGCTGGGACTCATACATTTATACCATTCACATAACACAGTTTCTTGAGGTATAGCTTATTTTAAATATCAAGCATGTCCTTTACCAGACAAATTTTTAAATTCCAG